TTTTGCATATAGTTAGTTTTTTCTCACTGCTATTTGTTATTTAGCTTCAGCAGACTTTTATTTTCTTTTATTGATGTGGAATGAAGAAATTTTTTCAGGTATGATTCTAGCCGAAGACGTTGACTGATCGAACAAATGAATGATTTTGTTTTGCTACTTAAATATACCGAATATAAACCTTAGAATATGTTTTAAAACAAAAATATCAAAGGCGAAACTCAGTTAAGTGGTCGGTTAAATTAGCAGTTGTGTTCATAATCTGTCAGAAAGCCGCAATGCATTCCTCATGATGGGAGCCAAGACAAAGGACGAAATTACGTCTGTTTTCGCATTTTCACCGTTTCAATACGGTATCAATATTTTTAATGTGATACGTCTCAGTTCTGTTCGACTGATGTTCACTGGTTTTTTTCCCGATATTGCGATTGATTGATTCATTTGTTAATGGATTTATTGACTGATTGGTTGATTCATTAGTTCATTAATTTGTTTATGCATACATTCGATCATTCTGGAGAAAGTAGTTTCGAACTTGGATAGTCACAGATGATTTTCTAACAGTTTTGAGACGATTTATGACTCCACATAGTAGGTAACAGTTCTTGCTTGGGAGTTTCGAACTGTATTTCATTGTTCTTCTTTAATATGGCTTGTAGCAGTCCTTACGAAACTTTTCCGAAACGCCTACTGATGAAATCTAGAGGGTTCAAGCAGAACCTCCTGATGAAAAACAGTGGAATTCGTACAGATAGTAGTTTTGTGTAACTTTGTAAACCTCTTTTTAACGATGTTACCAGCCATTTTAAAATTGTCACATGAATTCGTTAATTGAGTGAGTCATTCATTTGCTGAATTATCTGCTAGTTTCCATTGACTTTGAATAATGCTAGATGTGAAAAACAATTTATGCATGCTTTATTCATCTGGAGCTCTCATGTGCCTATGTATAAAACGGTAATGCCATCGAATCATGCAAAATCACTTATGAATATACTGTTGTGTCATTTCATTGACCATTAACATTTCGAATGCATGAATGACAGAAGATTTCTACTTTTCTTTTATTTCAAGCACTCCATGATTCCTGAGATGTAGGCATTTAGCAGAAGTAATTGTCAATCAACCAAATCACTGTTTACCCCTACCCTTTTGTGAGTATTTCTGTGATTTCTCTAGCCTTTAATACCGTAGCTTGCCTAAAGCTTTGGTTAAGCTAGCGTAAAAAGTGTCTAAATTTTGTTTACCAGATTGATTGCATATTGATAGTCGCTGATAATAGATTTCGTTAACCAATCAACGTCAACACCAACAAACAGTTGGAAAGAAATTCGTTTGCCATGCGGGTTATGAGGAATACTTTTTTTTCAGTCTGGTCTGTTAAGTTGTTGATTAATCATTTCTCTTTGGATGTTCCTCCGGCATTTTTCCTTTAACCGCGCCTTGCAAGACGGTTTGCTTGAGATCCCTGAATCGCAGCTGATGTACGGCATTTTTCGGTGTCTGACGATTGTCAGCATTGGTTACTGTATTTCTAGTCGGTGTTTTATATTTAATTTAACAAAAGATTACGTACATTTTAGACTCATGACAATCGGTTATAACATATATGTCTTCTCAGTTGAAGGTTAACTTTTCTTTTCGTAATTATAGAATCGGAAAATATAGTCTGTGTATTTATTATATGTATTTTGCTGACAAATGAACATTTTAATCAGGCAGAAAACTAGAAGTCTAACTTCAGAGAGGAATTTTACTTACGGTCGTGAAATCAGGTTCTTCTTTCAGGTAACTGTAGAGTGGCAGCTTGTGTTTGGCTACTAGTTTTATATTTCTCAGAAGCGAGGTTTGTTTGCAGTTTGCTACAGAATATATAGCGAGTAAATACTTGGCAGAATGTACCCTTCTTCGTTCCTTTCATAGTCCGCGTAACTGAGTTGACTTTCGCGTCTACTTTGTTAACGAATCAGGAAGTAAGTAAGTAAGTAAGTAAACTAGAAATCGAACAAGTTATTAAGTAAGTAAACATGAAATAAATTACGGTTAATGATTTTCGATTCCTAATCTATGGTTAAAAGAAACAATTGAAAACGATTATGCAAATTCCTTTACCCACTGATTGGTTTCGACTCTGCACACCAGCATCATCCTCAAGGTTATGGTACAAAAAATATGGGAATCGATATATTCTAACGTAGCCATGCGAGAGAAATTTGTAGGTAACTAACAGTTTTTCATAATGATATTTGATTCTTTCCTTGTTGAAGCGTTTCGTCGTCGCACTCTAACGTTATCACTGAGCTAGCTATACATGTGAAATTAAGAAATGGTTAATTAACATTTGATTAATAAATTCCTTGGTTAAATTAATCATTCCGAAGAAGCTGACAGATGACATTGCAGCCGTGTTTTGAAAAGTTGAGAAAGGCAGAGACGTCGCCGTTACACATTCGACTTCTCTTGGGCAAAATGCGTCTCGAAGAAGGCATTTGTGACCTAAATGTTGACAACAAATTGACAAAGGAATTTCAATATCTAAATATATCTCTTGCGCCTAAAATCATTTCATTAGATGATTAGTTGCTTGTCTAAGTTAGATGAATAGTTTTTGATTTCTTCATTCATAGTTCAAGTGAACAGTTTACTTGAATAATGCCAAACCCAGTGTTTGTCGATGAGTTTGACACCGCCGACAAACATTATCATCAGTACGAAATTTTAATCTGCGCGACGTTAGGAGAAGCACAAAAAATATCTTTATTATAACTTTGCTAGAAACCGATTGTTTTCGATACCGCCGGTAAGAATATCAGTTTTCTGTCACTTGTCCGGATTTACATTTCATAGTACACCGTCGCTATGTTTCTAATGGCCTAGAGGACTTTCAGGCAGGCCACGGCCGTATGTATATTTTACATGTGTCTAATGTACTAGATGACATTTTATGCACAAAATACTATGCGTGCAATAAAGCACCACACTGCCGTATTGTTGGTGCATAACAGTATGTACTGTGCAGCATGCAGAGGCATATATCTGTGTATATATACACACAAACATGCTCTTATGATAATGGATTAAGAAAAATACTGTTAGGAGTGTGGAAAAATTTATTTAATGCGTTAAACTTTTGGACAAATTAGTCCTGAGGAAGGAACAGCGTTGTGCAGTCCCGAACCTTAATTGATTAAATGTATTTTGTCCATACTTCTAAATTCAGATTAATTACAATGTCGACTTTAAATTGAATTTATATTTAAAAATTAAAATTTAATGCAACGAATTAGTACTTATATTATCCGTTTTTAAGAAGTTCTCCGCGTTGATGATTCCCAGGGACAGCGTCGAATTCTTCATTTCAGAAAGCGCATTTGTCCTGTCGTACAGAGCTTACACCGTCTTTATGACAGTTTGTGAAATTTCATGGTGTCAGTAACATATTGTTTGATTGCGCGCTGAGTCGAACTCTGTACGGAAGTCTAAAATGCTAAAATGTCACTTCTCACAGTTAGTTTGGAGACAAGTGTGTTTCACGTGCACAATTATCCATTTTGGAAGTCTGCTTGATTTGTTCGCAGAGTCATCTATTTTCTTGCAGTGCCTAAGAGGTTAACTTTTAACTTTGGATGTGCTGGGTACATATTTGCTCCAAAGGCAGTCTTGGTCTGAACCACGAATTTCCTGGATCAAGGAATTAATCCCATGCTGTCTGTGCACAACCAGCCCGTAAACAAATAGTAAGTTTGACACTTGCCAATAATGTAGACAGTATAGTGTTCTGGTCTGGTAGTTCCAGAATGCCGAGTTGGGCGATGATATTGTCTGAGACAAACGAACCTTGTGGCTGCACTTCACACTGACCTACGTATTAGCTGACTATGCGATGTTGTAATCATCGCATGGTCTGGTGTACGAGATTTTCCACATCCTCCAACTTTTTAAGGATTATCCTTGCGAACATCTCCAGCTCAGTGATTCATTGGTAATAAGAGCAATCTGCTGACTCCCGGTCTTGAGAATCCGGATAATTGCACTTT